CTGTACCTTGGGTACCCTCCCGTCAATATATATGATTTAGCTCATCTTTTAAAATAATTCAGTGGTTGTCCCAATGTTCATTATACCCTCACAGAATGATGATTTTTTATTTCCACGCTTTGATCTTCTCACTGGGGGATGCTTTACATAACAGAACCTGGAATATGATAAATCCTAAAGAAACATTTGTTAAATTGGTATACTGTTCTGAGTTGTACAGTCTCCAGGTTTGACAGGTTTAAAAGATGGTGGTGTGTACTTTGAAGCTGCCCCTGGCTGGAATGGTGAGAGAGAGAACAAACCACTCTTCTGTCCTGGAAGCCCATCCTTCCTCTGTATCTCCTTCCCCCCTCCCACTTCCTTCGACTGTCAACACCCAGCCTGGATCTTAGTGAGAGGAGGGAAACCTCACTGAACAGGTTTGGTCAGAAAACAAGAAGGTGTTTCAGGAATATGCTCTGGATTTTAATGCACTTTAAAAAAATTATTTATTGATTTTAGAGAAAGAAGAAGGGAGAGAGAGAAACACTGATTTGTTATTCTACTTATTTATGCATTCATTGATTGCTTTTTGTATGTGCCCTGACCAGGGATGAAACCTACAGTCTTGGTGTAACAGGACGACACTTTAACTGAGCTACCCGGCAAGGGCTATTTCAATGCACTTTTAACTTTAGATGGAAAGTTTCATGAACATTCTTTCGCCAGATCAATGAAAGCCACACCCCAAAATTAAATCTTGAAAAATAGTGGCAATCTGAGGGTCTTGAGTAGTACATTTAGCTGTTGTGAACCTGAAAAACAAAGAACATTAGAAATGAACAAAAATTTCACAAGATCGAGGGGTGTGGGACTCTAGAAATAAATGTCTCCTTATATTCTTATGTGATACAGGGAACCAGGAATATATACACTTTAGCTGGGCCAAAGGCATAATCAATTCATTTGTGAATAGAAACATTCTCTAGAAATAATAAGCAGACTGAAAGTACCAGCAAAGAAAGAAAAGGTTAAACATCTATTGTTCCAGAATAGTGAATAGTTTTGGTGTTTTTAATGAGAACATTTACCTGCTCATGTTCTAGAATAAATCTCTATAGCTGAGAAAATGAAACCCAGCTTACCTAAAGCCACCTAGTCTGGTAGTGAGTGCTGTGTCCTCTGGTCTTGCCTGTCCCTTGACGACTAGACAGATTCTGAATCTACCAGGCTCTGAACCATAAAGAAATGCGGTTCCCAGTGGCATCTTGGGGATCATGCTACCCCGTCAGAAGAGAACAGATGAACCTCTCCTCTCTGCTGACTGTGACAGGGGAGATGGCAAGAAACAAGCTCTTTAATCTCTGTTGGAATTCGTACTGCCTTTTATAAAAATACATCCTATTCTAGGTAGAACCCTTTCAGATCTACTCATTTATATCCTATTAACAGTTATACGGACTTTGTAAGCATATTATTGCTGTTTGGCCCGTGTGACTGATGAAATATTGACAGCAGGTGATTTATGTGCGCAGAATGACACAGCTGGAAGGCTATTTGGCTGTAATTACTTAGGGTTATATTACCCTCTCTGCTAAGGGAAAGTGTGAAGAGGTGAAAGCACCAATTGTTCCCAATTTTTTGAAGTATTTTCTGTAAATATCTAACCCTTTCTTGCATTTTTATTAGCTGAATTGAAAGGGAAATTATCAGATTATTTTATAGATTTTTTTTGTTGTTGCACAAATACTGATATTCTACATTAAAACATTTCCAAATCTGTATATATGACAGAAAAATATAGTTAAACCCAATAATAATATATCTTCAAAAAGTCAAAATGAGGATTTAATTTATGGTGTAATATTTTCCCATGACAGGAATAATCAAAATCATGAGATTTAAGTGTGAGCAACAGAGATGTGAGTGAAGACCACGTCTTGCTGGTTCACACCACCTCCACTCCAGGAGGTGACCCACGTTCCACCCCAGCTGCCCTCTGTGCCATCCTGGGGTAGGCATGTACCAGGGCTTCACCCCTGCCCATTAGGCTTGTTGCCTGGAAGGCAAAAGCCTCTAGGAGCCCATGCCCACGAAAGCTCCCCAGAGCATGACCTCAGCCTGTCCTACATCACTGGGGGCCTGCTACTGTAATGCCTCTGCCTCCTGTTCCATCCAGGGCACAGTGCCTGTCCTTAGCCTGGAGGAGCCCAGCCAGGGACACCTCTGTGCTCAGGGGCTGGGCCTCCTCTGGACCTTGCTATCAGTCCCCAGCCTCAAACTAGTGGCATGTCCAGGGAGGGCTGGCCCTAATCAAAGGCCCCACTAAACCACAAACTCCCCAGATGAAAAGGGCCGCCTAGGTGATATGCCACCAGGGCATTGAGCTGAAGTTGGTCCCAGGCCAAAGGTCTTCAGGCTGGGGCACCGCCTGGGAGCCAGGAACATGGCGGGAACCAAGGGCTGGGTGGTGACTGGGCATTTGTGAGGACACCCTTCTCACGGCCTGCAACTTCTGGGCTCACAATTTTGGTAGACACTTTGGTGACTGGGTGAGTGAGGATTGGTATTAGGTATTTTTCCTCAAGCAGGTACCAGCATCTCAGATTTCCAAATACAGGGTGGGGCAAAAGTAGGTTTATAGTTGTTAGTGTGGAAAATAATACAATAATTAATAATAATACAAGAATAAACTCTGTTTCACATACTCACAGCTGTAAACCTACATCTGCCCCACCCTGTATATATTTTATTACTAAAAGAAGATAATATACATATATGCTTGTACATGAAGAGGAAGTAGCTAGTAGGATACATATAAAAACATCAAGAGTGAGTACCTGTGGGGAGTGGGAAGAGGGCTGGGAACTGGTGTGAGGGATTTTTACTTCTCATTTTATATATTCCATGTTTGAAAAAAATGTTCACCTGAAGTGGGTATCATTTTTATAATAATTAAACTTTAAAAATTATTATGCTCTGTACCTGATCTGCATAAGAAGAGAATGCAGAGGAGGTGTGTATACAACATGGGAGTGACAGCAAAGTGCCCACATGTGTTTGGGTGCACAAAGTCATTAAGAACCATGTTTGGTTAACAGACACTGGTATCAAGGTTACTTCTCACTTGTAATCTCTTAATTACAGACACATCAAAAGGGCTGATAATTAATTGCCAAAAATTGGAAGCAAGCAAGATACCCTTCAATAGGTGAATGGATAAACGAAGGATAGAACATCCACACAGTGGAATATTATTCAGTGATCTAAAAATAAACAAACCTATCAAGCCATGAAAAGACATGGAGGGACCTGAAATGTATGTGAAGAAGCCAATCTGAAAAGGCTATATACTGAACGATTCCAGCCGCATGACATTCTGGAAAAGGCAAACCTGGCGACAGTAAAAGATCAGCGGTTGCCAGGGGTTGAGGGAGGAGTGGGGGAGGGAAGGATGGACTTGGGAGCACGGCGGATCTTTAGGGCAGCGGAACTGTTCTGTATGACACCGTAATCATCAATCCATGCCACGCATTTGTCAAAACCCACAGCACAGCACAGAGTAAACCCTACGGAAACCTGGGGCTCAATCACAACGCGCCTGTGCTGACCCGTCAGCTGTAACTAGTGTCCTGCACCAAAGCGAGGCCTGACCTGGGAAAACTGCTAAGGGCCGAGGGGCCCATGGGGATCCTCCGTACTTTCTGCTCAATAATTTGGTCAAATTAAAGCTACCCTTTAAAAAGTTTATTAATTTTTTAATAACTTAATGCCGTTTTAAAATACTTACATGTAATAATAAAAAGCCAGTAATAACATAATACAAACTAGCATTTCAAAACCAAGTCAGGACTATGGTGCTCTAGGCCGCGTTTTACAAGGCGAGGCGCAAGGACGCTTCTCCCTCAGTCGTTTGCGCGGCCCGTCCCGGCCCCACCCCAGGGCCTCCGGCCC